CCTAGCGTGACTTTTTCGGGCAGCGGGCGGGCTGTGATGACTGGGGACTGGCAGTTCAAGAGACGCCTATCAGCTGAGCTCTCTCAAGCGGTGCTCGTCCACGAGAACACTGTCTGGATCCCAACAGAACGCGGGAACACTCCCAAGTGCACTGCAAGGAATACGCACTTGCGTGCCAGTAACACGTGGTCTGTGTCGCTCATGAAATGTGTGACACGCAGTCGATGTTTCAGGAGACGCACGTGCACGGACCGAGGGGGATAAAAAGCGCATCGTATATGTGTGCATGGGTGCTTTCTCTTTGTGGCCTTTCTACGGCCTGTCGTGTCTGGTGCAATGGCGCCACTTCTCGACGCCTGGTGTTTTTGTCACCTGTAAATCTGTAAATAAATTCGTGTGTTCGTGTGAGCAAGAAGCCTCCCAAGGGTGCAATAAATTTTGGTGCAACAGAATATAGTACAATATATCACGCCTTGCACTGATAGAGACATTTTGCGTATGCATGTGATGGCAAATTATCGGGGAAAAAAGACATGTGTGAGGATGGTTGTTACGCTCGCATTCATAATGATAAACATGATAATCTTTAGTGAACTATACATGAGAAGAAAGCAAATAAAAATATGAAAACAGCGAAAAATCCAGACAGGACAAGCGCTGGACTAACAACTAAATTGAAAACCCACATATGCATTAACAATCAGCGCATGCCTAAATAGGCTATCTGAGCCAAGTAACATTGCAAAATCAACAGTACAAAGCCAAGAAGCGTGTCAAGGTGTGTAAAACAGTTCATTTTCACGAAACACCAGAGTATAAACGCCACGTGTACCCTTTGACTAGACCTGAATTCTTTATCTGAGGAAAACTGAGCTGGGATAACATCAGACATGGCACCTTTCCTATTTTTTTATTATTTTGAAAGGCTTTGCAACTTTCAAGTTTAATCTTATTTCTTAACTCTTTTGCTATGGCATACTGGTTTGAAATCAGAGGCGCAGCTACAGCTTTTGCAGTGCGGACGTACGTAAGTTTCCATAGTTCCTTGTCATATTCGGCCTTGTCTACAGCGGTCATTTCGATCAGTTTCAATGACAGGCTGCATGAACACCGCATTCTACTTCCTATAGGTATACTGGTGGGAACTAACCTCTGCGCTGCAAAGACTCTGCACCCTTCATTTCAAATCAGTGAGTGTCATTGGCAATTAAAGAAATAGTAAATAAGGTTGAACATAAAATTTTGTAATGCCTTCAAAATAAAACAAAGCCGGGTAGATGTGACGTGTAAATCATCCCTCAGTTTCTCTTGCAGATAAAGAATTCGTGTTGCTACATAGTGAGTGCATGTGGCATTGATTTTTTGGCATTTTATGAAAATGTACTGTTTGTAACACCTTAACATTGATGCACAGTTAGGTGTGCCAACTGTGAAATGACTCAGATAGACTATGCATGCGTTCCTGGGTTGTGTGTGGGTGGGCTTTTTGCAATAGACAATGTGTTTGAAGTCCAGCGCTTGTCTTGTCTGGTTGTTCTTTTTTGCTGTCTTCGTGTCTTTCACTGATTTTCCCTTCCGAATACTCTGAAGCAGCTCGCACAGCAGGCTAAGTTAATGATGCATTGTTTCAAACATGGTCATTACAAATTGGCATCTAGATCTGGTTTGTTGAGTTTAGTCCGAGATAGAAAACGGGTGAAGTAAAGGCGCACATCACTCGGTTTGATTGTCTCCCCAATGCATGATAAAGTAGAAGACACACAAGACATTGTACACCCACACCTTGATGTTTTGTTTTCATGCGGTCATGTTCTGTGCAGTACTCTACACGAAGTTTATGGTGATCCCCATCGCATCCAATTGTCGACCTTGCTGAACCTGCCACTCTACCGATTTAATCGTTTGTTTGATGGATCATACTTCATTTGTTGTGTTTTCCCTTTTCTTCTTCATTAAAGACAGTGTTCCAATTACTTAACTGGCTTTTTCTGAATACATACACCTCAAACAGCCCGCTCTCACTTGTTCAGACTGTTGAGCAATATAAGCTATTGCTTCTATGCGAATAGAAGCGCTTTACATAGCATGCGCCGCTTTTCCCTTTTGAACTGCCGCCATTCTTTGACTCGCCTTCACAGTCATACTGATTGTTACTCCAATACCGACTCTATACACCTTTCATTCATACATATATTGTAACAGGGAGTATACGAACTGGATCGTCAGGCAAAATGTCTTGGTAGTCCTTGCCAAACAGCACCATTGACGCTATCACAGATCTGGATTTGCTTAAATACAGTGCACTCTCAGTAAATGGGAATCTGTTAAATGGAACTGCTGCTTAAACAGAACAGCTGTCTCTAGCACAATTGGTTTCGTACCTGAATTCCACACTCCTTCTCATCTCTCAGTAAACGCAACTCCTGTTAAATGAAACACATTTTTCTGGTTCTTTCAGGTTACGTTTAACGAGAGTCTACTGCGCATTCACCTTGAAAGGGGATTAAAATTAATGTTTGTTTAAGTCTAACACTACTTTTCTATGTTATTAGGGCCACTGAACGGCAGGCGAGTCAATTACGATGCGTCTACCAAGCGGGCAGAATTGAAAAACGACCGACTATTTATTGGTGAGAATAAGGTGCCATAAAAAACAGGTTTACTAAAGAAATTTAATTGTACACGAAAAAATGATGCGGCAATCACGCCGAGAGAATACATCGACGGGGGCGACGGCCCAGCAAGAACTGTCGGTGGCGGCATGACGGTGTCTCGACACACACCTCTATGCAGCACACGTGTTGCTGTTGATCAAAGTGCCACTGCAAAGCTTTTGCGTGCACCTGGTGGTGACCACTGTGGCCTTCTGTGGACAAGTTACAGGAAGAACGTGCACCCAGAGGGTGCTTTTCCAAGGCTCTGGCACTCTCACCCTTTCCTCAATACAGTAATCCTGTTTGATATATAGCCGGTCGAAGAGGCTGTGACTGGAATGGGTCTGTGCAAGATGCGTGTATTGGTGGACGATGTGGACTTCTCGAACTTCCTGGTGGGTGTCCACCACTGCTAGGGCAGGAAGTCTCTGGTTGAATATGGTGACAGGGAGGTCGAGAGGCCACATGATGACTTTTCGAAGGATGACCTCGAGTTGGTCATCATCGTGTTTGCATAGGTGCAAGTAGAGAGTCGAGTAGAGTATTCTACTCGTTAGGAAAGCATGGGCAAACCACATTGCATCTCTGCTTCGTAATTTGCCTCGCCTGTTGGAGACCCGGCGAACCATACGGCTCACCTGGTCTCTTACCATACAAAGTTTGCCTATTGTGGTGTCGGCTTTGCGTTGATGGTGCATGAAGAGACCAAGGACGCGAATTTCCTTAGCCTAGGAGATCGGTCTTGAGGGGAGACTGATGTTTAGCTGAGTTGTCCACCGAGGAGAGGGACGCACGTGCACAAATTCTGACTTAGCAGGGGCACACCAGAGTCTGCAGTATTTGCGTAGCCGTCGACTACAGTTGCTGCTACTTGCAGGCATGACTTAATGTGACCCAGATTGTCTTGCGCTGCCCACATCATGATATCAGACACGTAAATAGCGTAATGTATCCCGGGTAGAGAAGCCAATTTAGAAGGAACATGAAACATGGCTAAATTAAATGGGAGGTGAGAGAAGACCCACTTGAGCTGGGCGTAAGGCCCATGTTCCTCACTTTATATACGTGTGTGGTCTTCATTGTGTGCAAAAAGCGGTCTAATATAATTGAATGTTTTGTACCCGCAGTTTGTTTGACTGAGGTGCCTCTAAGATACAAGGCCAAGACTACCTTGTCATTGTGGGGATATTCGAAAAGGTCTAATATGTCTCGATGGAGCTGCAGAAGTGTATCCTGAGCTGACTTTTGAGGGCGCAAACTGAACATGGTGTCCGCGAAAATTCGCTGTATTTCTAGAAAGTCGGAGAGTCTGTCATGCACCGTCGTCTCCCTTAGCTTGCGGATACAAGACGTGGTGAGATGGGGCGAAGGTTCTCCATGTTAATAGGTTTATCTAGCCTTCAGGATTAATGTCACGAGAGCCAATGTCCAGTCAAGAGGGAGAGAAGTTTGTCCGTCCTAAATGCAACATTGGTGTATTTGAGGAGTGCGGTGCATGCTGTGTCGAGAAGATTGTCCAAAATCTCGACCGTATCCTGGTCACACCCGGGTGCAGTACCACGCTCGATTTTGCATAAGGCCTCCCAGAGGTCCTGGAGCTGGAACGGGTTGCCTAGAAGTGTGTTCTCTTAGCCTGCATACGAGTATGCAGCCGTGCAGGGGTTCTTGGTGGCGAACAGGTATCGGTCCCTGAGCCTGTGTGCCAGCTGTGTTGTCGTTCCTGTAATGTTGTGCATAGCCTCATGTGAGTGACATTGGGTTTCCATGCGTGTTTGTGTTAAATCGATAAAAGCACGGAACAGGTGATACGTGTTGCGGTGAAACAGCTGTCATGTTGCTGTTGGTTTAAAATGCAAGTGGAATAAACAAATGCTTGCTTTATATGCATAACACTGCCACAAATATGAAGTTTTCTACTGTGTGCAGTGTGCATTACACATAAATCAAATTTCTTTTTAGGTGGTTTAGAAGCTTCCTTACTTCACACTGCTTATTTGCAGCCTCATATCATATACCATTAAGGAAATCACTTGGAACTTTGTGACACAGAGGTCGCTCTAGTGGAGACGGAAAATCCGAGAATAGGGGGCGCAGCTGGAGCCAACGTTCTGACGGGCGAACTTTTGTCAGCGCAACAATGTAAATATAGTCGACTCTCTTTCAAACTCAAACTCAAAGGGACCTCTGAATTTTGTGTCAATTATCAAGAAGTTTGAATTGTCAGAAGTTCTCAAATATATGAGTCTGGGTGAGGTGACACCACACATTATGATTACACACTGATTTTATCACCTTTAAAATTTTTAAAAGTGTCTTTAAGCTCGAACTGCACACAGTAAACAGAAAGCAGAGGTGTAAAGTCTGCAAGTTTATTGGCCATTTGTTGCTGATCACACATTTTAAAGAAATTGTGAATTGCCAACTGCTTTATTGCTAAAGGTATGTGCTTTCAGCACAAAGCTCTTTATACCAGTTGAAAAGCATCACGGTTTACCATGCTTGTGCTTTTTTCAAACATTTGTTTACTAGCAAAGCCTTTTTTCTTGAAGACCAGGGATTCTTATTTTTGAGTTTTAGACTGTTAGGACTATATAAACACAAAAATTTTTAAATAGTAGTGGGAAAGCAGCAGATGTTTTCTGGTATGGACCTGCAAGAAGTATGAATTAACAGAATGATGGAGTTTGAATTAAGAGGCTTTTAAATACACTGAAAAAATAGAGGGTCAACCAAAAAATTGAATTTTGTTTGAATTAACCGAAAGTATGAATGATAAAAAAAATTGGGTGCATGTTAAAGAACCCCAGGTAGTCAAAAAGCCCTCCACTATGGCATCTCTCATAATCATATGGTGGTTTTGGACGTTAAACCCCAATCATATGGACGTTAAACCCCACATATCAATCATCCATTAAAAATTTGAATTATCACGAGTCTACCGCGAGTCTATTCGTTAAAATGTTGGCCTCTTCACAAACCTTCAATTTCTTCAAGTCATCATCTTCCCCATGAAACTACTGTTGATGTCCCTCGAGTGCCACTTTGAAGAAAACAATCGACATCATGTTCTGAAGGCAAGAAGTGCTAATCTAGGTAAGTGAGATCACAAGGTGTTGTCTTCTGTGGAGGGAAGCAATGGCAGGCACAGATTGTAGAAGGAACTCTCCATGAGGGAATCTAGAGAAAGCCATGAGATCCAGCCGTTCTGCTGCAGATTGGCTCTGGCTCCAGCGAGAAGGCCGTGTTTTGCATCATTCCTGTACCAATGTGGGTCCTGCATGAGTGGTACAGGTTGGCAATATGGACTTCAACAAGAAACATAGAGAACACTCAACAATCCTGACAGACATAGCTCATGCCGACACAATAATATGTGATGACTTTATAGTAATTTCCGACTGCTTTTTTTTTGTTTGATATCAATTTATTAAAAATCAGCATGCAGCCAAGAGACATATGTGAGGGCTCATTGGTCAGCTGTCGGCCTGGTAAATATTCACGTGCTATGTGACACTAAATGGCAAATGAGTGTTCCACACTCATCATCAAGGATAGGAGCTGCGGCAACTAACGCTTTCATGGTTTTCATGCACATAAACGCCTAATCAAGGAATGAGGGAAAGACCGCAACAGCAGCTAAGTTGGTACGGGAACATGATCCGAAGGTCATAGGTTCATTTGCTGCCAGCAGCAAGTTGTCTTTTCATTCCACTTCACTTTCTTCACATCTATGAGTAGCACTGATAATGGGCGAGTTGGTCGTCCCAAAAGCAGACAAAAAGACAATAAGGACAGACGGGCAGTTTTGCAAACATGCGGTCAAGGGAACATGAGGCCAGCCTACGCTGCGATAGCAGGGGGCAGAAACTCCCTATACCTCCCATGTATTCACTCTCAGCAGCGGCAGCACCGATTTCACCACTGGCAGTTGCCAGGCGTACTGCTAGAAATAATGCACGAACAGAAAATTTTTTTCATGACATCACTGACGACGTCCCAAAATAGAGGGAAAGGACGAACATTCGAGAGGAAGAGGGTGGCTACGGAAGCCCTCCTTTTCTAATTCCCATGCAAGTGTAATGCGCTCGAGCCTTCTTTTAGGTCCGGTAGCCGCTTGGGCAATGCGGTCATTCGCAAAATGTTGTTTTCTGAAGAGGTGAAGGTTAAGACGCCTGATTTCTCAATAGAACAAAACTTGATCATCACAAAAAAATGAGCTTTTTTTTTACCGTTTTATATAAAAAACAGACATACACGTAAGTGAAAGTGTCAATGTATAAAAGCAACTTTAACATATAATTGACATACAGACATAGTGAGCGAACGTTGAACCCAGAATAACCGAACGAATGCAAAAACTAAAAAATCACGAATAGGACACGTCGTATTTGACTCAATCACGTTTGTTATGACGGCGCGCATAGCTTTCTTACAGAACTTTAATACCAAACAAATAATCGAAGGATCAAACATTCAAAATAAAGAACAGTCTTGTATCAGCTGTCCCTCAACTGCACTTAAAGATAAAGAAATCTTATACCTGAACGGATAACTTGCTATGGTTTTTGTTTGTGCTTTTTGCATAGTGCTTAGCCATGTGTGAGTATATGTTGTCATGGGGTAGTGACGCGGACGAAGAGAGCAGACTGGGTGGTCAGGTTAACTGTTTATTTGGTGAAACTTGTGATCACGAAAAAGGAAAGTCAGATTACAGCAACACACTGGCACTGATAGCGGCAAGCCGAACGTCAGCCATCAATCAACTGACAAGCGATGAAGAATGTCAGCATTTATACACTTGCCATCAAATATTCTAGCGTTATCGCTAGTGGCGACATAGTTTCCAAAGTAATCTATATAGTTCACGAAGTGGGCATAATCTTAACAGAATGATCTATAATAACTGTCAATCTTCTAGAACAATGAGGCGCAGTTTGCGCTGAGCATTCCAGACAAGCTTTGTGGGCGAAAACCGAAAGAAACATAAGTGTGAAAAAGAAACGCATGTGGCAATATCACTCTGTGCTATTGAATAAACTTAAGTTGTTAGTCGGCACTTGTCTTCGTATAATTTACCTTTTCATCTGCTTTTTTGCGCCACTCTAAATTCATGCTTCCCGTCTATATCACAATTATTACAGTACATTTAAAATGGTATAGCTAACATTTACAATACTGTCTTAGGCTTAATTATCTGCTGATATTATTTAAAGTTGACCATAATCTAGGCGTACAAAACACAACACTATTAAAAAATGCACAATCCCAAAAACGTTGAACATCACATTTTTGGTTTACACATTCATTGTTTCGAATGTTTCTTATTACTCTAAAAAGCACGCTGAGACATTGCAGGAGAAGAGATTTCAGCTGATTCGATAGATTAGGTTTAAATGCATGTTTCCGGCGCACTTGTGATGTAAGTGTAGTAACTAGCCAAGAGTGCCCGAGCCAGACTGAGAACCAACGCAGAATGCCCCTTATTTTGCAGATGAATAAGTATATATATAGGTGGCTTGCCTATGACGTAACACAAGTGGATGACAGTTGAACACGTTTTGACACTGCACTTCTTATCACTTCTACCTTTCTTTTAAAGATTGAGTCTTTGCACGGGCCTTCGTAGTCGGGTAGACCTTCGTAAGACTTGAGGAGTTGGGGAAGCAGCCACAGCTGGAAGAGATGTTGGTGGCGTTGCCGAAGGAGCGGGAAAAGCGTTCATGCGTGCTGGAGTGACCGGGCTTAATAGCTGCTCCCGTGGTGACGCTTGCAGCTCCGCGTTGTCGCGGCTGGGCGGTACCGATTCAGAAGTGTCTGCCTTTGGAGCCCCGGGTTACATTCACGGACGAATCTTGTCTAAGTGATGCCGGGTCGGCCCTTCTGCTGTGTCGACTTTCACGAAACGTGAACCTTCAGAGCCTCTGACGATGCCTGGGCACTACCGCATCCCGTGTCCAAAGTTGCGCACCCACACCGGGTCTCCGGGCTGGAATCTGAAAGGCTGCAAATGACTCCGAGATAAAGACAGCACACAAGTATCCAAGCGTGAACGCACTTGATAATTAAGCAGCAGTTCCGAAGGAGACTTTCCGCATGGTAGAGGCATGCGTCGGTAGCTTAGCAATACTTGTGCTAGTTTAACTTCGAGGTCGTTTACCATCGAGTGTTTAACTAGACCGTCCTTGATAGTGCGAACTGTGCGTTCCGCAAGGCCATTCGATTGCGGGTGGTAAGGGGCACTGCGTAGATACGTTATGTTATCTGTCATGAACTGGGCAAACTGCTGACTTGCAAACTGGGGCCCGTTATCAGACACTACAGTTTGCGGCAAACCAAAACGCGCGAATAATTCGCGAAGCCGTGCAATTGTGACTTCGGTAGTTGCTGATCTGACTTGGAATGCCTCGATCCACTTCGTGTGCGAATCGACGACTATGAGTAGCATGCGCCCCTCTATTGGCCCAGCGTAATCAATGTAAAGCCGTGACCACTTCATCCCTGTTTCTGGCCAACTGATAGGCTCCTGACGATGCGGCATTGCTTGAGCTTGTACACATGGCACGCATGTGAAAGAGTGAAACTTTCGATCTCACCATTCAACCCTGGCCACCAGAACAACGTCCGAGCCAGTCTTTTCATCCCCGATGCTCCCTAGTGTGACCGGTGTAACTCTGATAGCATGGGCTCCCGCGCCTTGCTGGGTATGATAACTCGATGACCCCAGTAGAGCAGACCTTCGGCGCTCAACAGTTCCAGTCTTCTGCGAAAATAAGGTTAGAGATGACTGTGACATGTTGAGAGGCGTTTCGGCCATCCATTACGTATGAAGTTTTGGACGATACAAAGATCTTTGTCTGCACTGGCAAGGGCCTTTAAAGCACCCGCTGGCGTGTACGTACTGTCAAGCTGCTCCATAGACAGCACGTATTCTGCCAAGGTTTCGGAGTGAACAACCTCTGGTGTCGGCACTGGAAAACGGCTAAGTGCGTCTGCATTGGCACTTTGTTTCCCGGCCCTGTACTCGATACAGTACCGGTATTGACTTAGAAACAGAGCCCACCTCTGGATACGCGCCGACGCCATTGGAGGCACCAGTCGATCTTCTTGTCGCAGGCTCACAAGTGGTTGGCGGTTCGTCACCAGCACAAATTCGCAGCCCAACAGATAGTCGCGAAACTTTGAGACTCCGAACACCAATACCAGAGCTTCCTTCTCGAGCTGCGAATAATTTTTTTCCGCACTGTGCGTAAACGGAAAGCGATGGGCTTATCGACGTTGCCTATTCGGTGCGAAATGATGGCACGTAAACCCAACAGTGATGCATCGCATTCCAACCGCACTGGTTGGTCGAGCTGAAAATATGCCAGCACGGATGAGCTGAGAAGCATTCGTTTCGCCTTTAGATAAGAATTTTCTTGAGTTGCACCCCACTTCCATTTATGCTCTTTTTCGAGCAGCTTATACAAGGGGCCAAGATCGCTGACATGTGCGGTAGGAATCGTTGACAATACGACAGCAGACCTAAAAACGAGCACTGTTCGCTTACACTAGTAGGCCGTGATGAATCGCATATTGCAGCGAAGTTCTTTTCCTACGGGTGCAAGCCGTCTTTGTCGATCAGGTGCCCCAAGTAGATGATCGAGTCTTTACGGAAGTGACACTTTTTTGCCTTCAGTTTGACACCGTTTTTCTGCAGACGGTGTAAGACATTCCGGAGAACAGAGTCGTTTCAGTCTTGACGCTCGGCTATTAGTACATCGTCCAAGTACACCTGCACGGCTGGAAGGTCAGCCAGGACGGTTTCCATGAAGCGCTGAAAAATCGCGGAAGCCGAGGTAACTCCAAACAGAAGACGGTTATAGCAGAACAGGCCCTTGTGCGTATTTATAACGGCCAGCTTCTTCGCTTCCTCATCCGATGGCTGGTTATACGCGTCCTTCAGATCCAATGTAGTGAAAGGCGATCCCTCACGAAGTGACGCGAAAATGTCCTCGATGTTAGGTAGTGGATATTGCTCAGTTATCCACGCAGTATTAATTGTGGTTTTAAAGTCACCGCAGATGCGAAGGGACCCATCTTTCTTTAGTACCGGCACTATTGGTGCCGCCCACTCTGAATGCTCTATAGGTGACAATATGCATTCACTCACTAAGCGTTCTAGTTCCCTTTCCACTTTCTCACGTAGAGCGTACGGGATAGGCCGTGCCTTGTGGAACTTAGGGTGGGCGTGTTCTTGAAGGTCAAATTTCACCGGTGGCCCCTGAATTCTTCCAA